TTGCAAGCTCGTGCCATTGCAGTACAGTGCTTCCCTAATCCAGTCCGTGTTAGGGGATCCTTGATTTATGTCCTGTGATTCTTATTGCGTGATTTGTGTTCCGAGTTCCGTGCGTATTACTACTATTACAACTACTGCGGTGATTGCAGCTATGTGATCCCTTGACCATCTTGGTGGCCATCCTTTGTGTACGCTCAAGCATCTTACAATCACGTTGCAACCATGGGACCCAAGCTCGGATGGTGTACTCTGTGTACGGTCGAATGTACACTGATAGCAAACATGGGAACAGTGCTGATTCAAGCTGACCAAAGACTCATCTAAGCCAGCCGACATTCTTTACAGCAGCGGACGAAGCCTTGGCGCAATTGATCGAGCAGCTTAAGTCTTCTTGAACAATTATACCTAAGTCCTTTTCACTTGAGGTATGAGGTAGCTGCTGATTTGCGAGAAAATACGAGAATCTTCTCTTGTGGCGTAGGGATATGAATTTGCATTTAGAAACATTAAATTCAATATCGTTCTCCTTAGACCATTGATAAGCTATGGTAAGTGATTCTTGAAGTGTTAAAGAGCCCTCGGATTCTGTTACCATAATGCAGCTTTTGGCGTCGTCTGCAAACAGTATTGTTGTTTGGATCTAACACGTTCGGTAGATCATTTATGAATGCGAAGAAAATACAAGCACATATCCTTGTGGAATACTGCGGGTGACGTTGATAGAGATAAGGATGGGGAATCAGAAATACGAACTAATGTGGTCCGTTCTCCGAGGAATACTGTAATCCAATGAAACACGAAATCTCGAATGCCGTATTTGTAGAGCTTCAGTAACAAATCATGGTGAATTACCAGATCAAATACTTTCGTCAAGTCGAGATAAATCACTTCCACCGCATACCCTTCGTGGAGTGTTCTGGTCCATTCATCTCAAACAAGGAGAAAGTTGATGGAACAGGATCGCTTTTACCTGAACCCATGTTGGGCTGTTGTACCTTCCTAGGTGTTCCATTAGAGAATCTGCCACAGTTGACTACATTACTTCCGATAACAGTAGAACCACGGTTACAGGTCCGTAGTTAACGGATTCACTAAGACAACCACCTTTAGATAAGGGCGAAATAACCCTTGTTTCCACCATTGTGGAAGTACTGCTTGGTCGAACATTCGTTGAAACAGAATGGCTAGTGATTTGGATATGTGAATCACCAAAAAGATAAAGGATTTCGGGTATATATTGTCTGCACCTGAGGTTACCTTTTTTGTAATGCCAATATTTTTTATTTGACATTTTCATCAGTAAATACTACGTTGGTCAGTGAAGGATATGGAGGATGATGTAACCGGGGAGGTAGCTGTAGACCTTCATTCAACCTATGTTGCAGCAAACGCTTTGGAATACTGAGTTGTTAGCACTCCACGTGTTTCCGTTGGAGTGGCTTTAACTTTCCTAGAGCAGCTTAGTACCGATATACCAAACTTTACTTTCCGAATTGAGTTTACGTGCTTATACAACAGCTTAGGGTCAGAGATGAATCTGTTCGATAGCGTCTATTGGTAATTCAGCTTATCCATACGAGTCAGCTTGGTGCAGTGTTTCCTCAGCATGCGATAGTTATTCCACATGATAACATTTGAAAAACGTTTATAATGTCGCCGGGATAGAAACCTCAGAGATAGCCATTTATGGATGCGGCTTCGAAAAGGGGAATTTTGGATGCCGGATTTGGTGAATACAGTCTTGGTCACTAATGTCATTAGGTTTGTAATACTGTCAATAATTTTCTGCCAGGAGACCAACGGATTGGGTTTTTCGTCATAGGAAACCTACTGAGTAAAGAGCGCCAAATTTTTCAACCGTGTATAGTCTATGGAGCTGGGAAACTTCCTGCGATAGAAGGGTGATAAATATAATTGAATGTAAGTACTACGTGATCACTGCGTCCTGCGTCCTGGGGGGCAAGTCACATTGACTGGTTCTACCATAAGCTCCTCGTTGGTCAACACTAAATCCATTATGCATATAAACCATAGTATTTTTCCTCATTACCACTGTTTTTCTCTGTAGAAATTCAAAATAAGATTTCAAACTTACCCGGTTAGCAGTCATGTTTTCTTGACTTTTACTAAGCAATTAACAGGTAAGCTTAGAGACAATCACATTGACTGTTGCATCAAGTTTGTTTACCAGAAAGTAGAGACAATCACAAATATATTATTGTACATCAACATGTATTTCCGTCGCTTTCAATCACCAAAAAGTTACAGTTTTCCGGCTATGCTTTAGAGAATTCACGGAATTGATTTGTTTCGTATTTATTCTAATTCCTTCTTCAATACCCATTTACGTTTATGTGTATAGTAAGTGGCTGAGAAAAGAATTTTTAACAAAAGTTTCGTATACCGTTTGCATAGTAGTGCACTTAATTCGGCCTATTTATTTATTTTAACGGTGTCACAACTCTCGAAATTGTGACTAGCGCTAAAGCTTCCCTGGCTCACTCCGCACACACCGTATCACGAGTAATCTCAATGATCGGATGAGTGGACAAACAAATGTGTGATAGTGGTGAACTCGGTTTCCGATTTCACGAGGACATCGTTTCCACTAATCTGTGATTTTAGATTATTTTATTTTTCCAAGACAACTTCATTCTCAAGTAGTGATATATATTGATTGGCATATCTCTGAAAACGAGCTTGTTCGACACTCTGTTATTCCCGTGGAATTGTCCTCTATCGGACTATTTCGACCATTAAACTGAGTGTGCTTGTGGAAAAAGCATTCCTCGCAGTAAAACTTCGCACGGTGTTCATCCAATTTGGCGCCTGCAACTCTGGAAGAGGTTGTCTATTTCCCCAGTCCCTTTCTGTGTGTGTACTTTTTCCTGTGGAACAAGTCAATATTAGCCGCACGAGCAGATGTTTCTCTGAACGAGTCCGCGAGCACCACCCTACCCGGCTGAATAGTGGGGTGATTAGGTCGATCAACAGTTCTATCACTTCACATCTTTTGGAGTCAAACCAGGTGGTTAATGTGGCCTCGGCGTTTTAGCTGGGAAACAACGTAGAGTGAGGTCAATAATTCAGGTTGACCGGCCTGATTAAAAAGCTCAAACGGGAATTTCAGTCTAGTCGAGTTAGACTGAATTAAGCTCCGGTATACAGTCTCGCCAGTTCAAGCATGTACTCTTACATTTCGGCTCAGAGAAAAAACCCAAACAGCGGTAGGATAAGTCACAAATAAACATCACCTGTGCCCCGACACTATCGACTACGCTGTGCATGAGTTTTACGGCGAGGTGCTTGTTCGACCTCATTCATTACCATCATATTGTGTGTGGCTAACTTTGAACGCAATTTCTTCAATCATCGACCCAGTCGACCCAGATCTACCCATCACCCATCAAAAAGAGCGGGTGGTGATGCTGCCTTATCGTTTTGCAGTCGACAGACATACCCGCAACCGCCAGAACCAAGGAAGGTTTCGCCGCGGAAAGAGGCTGTGTTGAACAAATCTTCACTCTTCGTAGGATTCTGGGACACTACTAAAGGTTCAAACAGTCTACCACAGTATGTTTCATCGAATTCCACGGTGCGTTGGGTTCTGTCGATAGAGAATCCTTGTGGTGCATATTGCGCTTCGACTGGACGCCCAGGAAGTTGATCAGCCTTTTAAAGTCGTACCACTCAGGAACCCGGGCACGCTTCCGTACCCATGGAGAAGAATCGGTTGAGTTTACCCTAGGCTCTGGGTTCGGTCAAGGTTGTCTCTTTTCGCGGGTGTTATTCAATTGCACCGTAGATTGGTTAATATTACAAGCACTCGTGGACTGCCCCGGAGTGCAGCTTGGCCCAGGTACATAGATTGCTAACCTCGAGTTTGCGGACGATTTCTTTGAACTTGGAGACTCCATGAATAACCTCCAGCCTGTTGTCAGTCGTATAAACCAGCTTGCCCAGGTCATTAGGCTAAAGATCAACACGCCTAACACGAGGACATTTTTGACCGAAACTTCTGCCTTGACACAACCCCTCACGATTAACAGTGAGCTCGTCGAATCAACCGAATTTTTCAATTATCTTGGTTCTACAATTAGACCAAACGGTAGACTAGGGATGAAATCCAACTCCTTGTAGATGGAGCTAGAAGAGCCTTCCTACAACTCCTCAAACCGTTGTGGAATCGATACGAAAGAAGCTTATTAGGCTTCCATCCGCCTTATTCTTACTTATGGTTGTGAAACCTGACCGCCAACAGTACAAGATACAAAGAAGCTCGAGGTCTTTGATCATTGATGCTTAGGCCGCACCTTGAAAGTAAATTGGAGAAATCGAATTTCCAATGATGAGGTTCAACGGCGCTACTAAAAAATCGACAAGGTTTCAAAAATGCTACTATGCGAGTGCCTTCAGTGGTTTGGCCATGTGCTCCGAAGGTGACAGGCTTCAGCCCCTGCACCTTCTCGTGGATGGAGTTGCTAACTCAGTGGTCAACTGAAGACCCGGGACAGTGCGATCAAGGCGTGCTTGGAATTACTGGGCGTCCAATCCGTATATGGAATTCGTAATTGAAACCAGAACTGGGTTTCAAACTGCGTCAGCCTTGCTGCCTACCGTCATCCACAGGTAGCCATCATTATAGACATCCAATAAGTCGACTTATCCTCCCGCAGGAGTTAGTCGCTCAAATGTAAAAGTAGGAGCACGCGGTTGAGTCATTCTACTACTCCTGTCACCGGCCAACCTGCTCCCAGTAGAGTTCGGAGTTGAATATCAAATCATATTTGACGCTGTTTTTTCAACCCACAGCGAAAGTGCTGAAAAACAATGAGCGATAACTGATTTTTTTCGTCAAAGGCAGGGCCGAATTCTACTACTTGAGAAAGTGTGCTCTTCTGCCCAAACACTTTCTCTGTTCAAATGGCATTATGCGTAATGATACACGTAATTAGCATTGTTTTAAATACATCCTTATTGTGGATTTTGACATGTGCTGACTAAGCGAAGCGGGATATGAGAAACCACGGGGCACCTGTACAACTGTTTCCACGAGACATAAACGGTAAACGTGTAGTTTCACAGATGACAGAACAACGTAAGTCCACCAGGTTGTTTAACAAACAAAACTCTCTGACCGGAGCCACTTCTTCGGACATGATTCTTCGACATGATTGCGTTTGATCAGTAGCGCAAATTGATTGACGCATCTGGGAATGGACCAGGGGACCTGACAGGTAGAACACATGCAACTCCCAAAGAAAGGATCGTCAAACTACCGTCCAATTGCCTGCACATCTGTGTTGTTGAAGACTTGAAAAATGTTTTGCTGTGCCGTGTGAGACCCCCACTGTAACTCCTATGATCCTTTAAAATTTGCTTATAAACCCCTTCTGTCCACACTTGACGCCGTTGCTCACGTTGTTCATTCTATTGCTTTCGTCGTAGGCAATGGTACTGTTACCACTCATTTAAATTTTTTTGATTATACAAGTGCTTTTGGTTCGCCCGGTCGACGAGTGCAGATTGAACGTCTTTTTGAGAGTGATTTAACTCCTGAAGTCTTGAATGTACTATCCGATTAGTTCCCCTGTACAACCGAGTTTATTTCACTGAATGGAGTGCATTCTTCTTCCATTAATATTGAAGACGGTGTTTTTCAGGGTGCTATTTTGTCCCCTTTCTATGTATCTAGAAAATCTCCTCATTCCCAGCAACTTTATTGTTTGTAAGTATGCTTATGATATTGTGATTGGTCGCCCATTTCCTATTTCAGACAGTTTCCGACGTCTCCAGGACAGTCTTGATGGACGTTAGGATTAGTTTGTGAACCGGTCCCTAGTAATTAATATCAGTAAGTGCATCGAAGTTCCATTTAGTCTTCAAACCGGTCCCCGTTATCTTTTATTAGTTAATAATCTATCTGATCTTAGAGTTAGCAATCAAAGTATTCCCAAATCCGGATCTGTCAAATACCTTGGTGTCACCCTAACCCATAAACTGTCCTGGTCTGCTCATATCTTCAATGTTCTCACAAAAGTTTGAAAACTGTCTTTCTAGGCTTACAGGTTCAGGAAAATGGCTGTACCAGATAATCTTAGTTTTAACTTTTTTATTGCCTGCATTCTTCCGCACTGACCATACTGCTCTCCGATTTTTGTCCCGGGACTGAAAGAAAAAGGTTTCGCACTATTTTCGACATCCCTTAAACATTTGTCCCGCTACAGTCGAGTTGATAAAGATTTTTTTGTTGATTTCTTTATTTCCAAGCATCTTGACGATTGTGATGCATTCATAGATAGAATAACACGTGATCAAAGACACTGTCTGCACCAAGGTATGGTGAAAGCTCTGTCGAATCTCTAAACTCGCTCCGAATATCAACTTCTTTCTGCACTGACTTACACATATAGAAATAGTGTAATTCCATACCTTGCTCGGTTATTGGTTGATCGTCAGAATATTCTCATTCATCTCAGGGGAAAACTCTTGCAATAATCTTTCTCTCATTCAATAAAGTGTAAAATTTCTTATATTGTCTTTTTTGTTTGTAATTCGTTTTATCTATTCACTGGTAAAATCGTAAATTGCTGAAAATTTACCACTTGCGTGCATAAAGCTTTTCTTGACTTGACTTGACTTGACTTTATTAGAGCACTAGCTTTTATGCAACAATCGTGATAGGTTTTCTTCGCCATCATATGTACTTATTCAGATATATTGATAATATTTAATAATAATACATTGATAAAGAATCATAATTGTTTCAACTAATAAATTAACTTGAAAATTGTACCCGGGCAGTTTGTATTGGCGATGTATTCTGTGGGCAACTCACCGTCACTTGTTTCTGAAGTCCTTCCACTGTGTCTGCTGTGGCCGCTTGTCCCTGACTGACTATTTCCAGTAAGAATGAAGCCGCCCCATTCATGATGGCCACTATGCTCTGTTGCAAAGTTTGCACTGTGTCAGGCGGATTATCAGTGGGTTTTGCAAAAAGATAGACTCGATCTAACGCATAACCCAGCAGAATGTAACCAATCAGCAGGAATAGAATGAAAATCCAATTTAAAGCGAACAAAGCGTAGTGAACTCGTTTGGCGTTCTTCGCTCGCCAGGATAACGCTTCTCGTTTCGAGGGAGTTAGATCGACCGGATCAGTGAAGTCTCGGGGGTATTGACAAAGACGTGCCTCACTACCCAGAGGTAATGTGTCCACGCTTGAATTACGACGTAGAGGAATGTTCCATACAGGATCCGGTCGTGGTTGACCACGACGACCGACAATTGTTGGATCCTGATTTGTTCGAGATTGAGGGANAAGAAAATAAGTGATTAATCTGACCAAAGTGACCATGGATTACAGTTCACATAAAACTGATGGAAATTTAATCAAATCTACCGTAATAAACGATTCGTTCCATCCATGGATCTGGAGTGCTTGATATTGTATTTTGATTATAATTTTTAACCTTACAAGCTGAAGCAACTGTATCTTCTATTGGTAGAAACGCTTTCTGTTTTTGAGCGTACGATGATAAAATTTAAAAGTTTACATACGGAGATGATTTTTGGATGCATACACAAAATAAAAATAATTTCATACTGCATCGGTCGTCGCGCAGGATAATCAGGACCGCACTGCCACTTGCATCGAGCAGGGTGGTTAGTGATAAGTGGGCTACTGCTCAGATATCCCAACCTTTGTTTAACTCTGTTTCCGTTCCCAACCCTCTCCCTTTACCCCTTCTACCGACCTGTAATAGTCCCTCAAGCAACTTGGATGTCGCTCGCCAAAGGCCGTTGTCAAATAGCACTGTAAGTGATTTACCACGGAATGGATTGCGGATTTTAAAGCCCCGTCAATCACTGAATCTGGAGGCCTTCAACGTGAAGACTTTGATGCAGGTAGGTCAACAAGCTTGTCTGGTGCGTACAATGGAATCCTTGGGATTCGATATTTGTTGCGTGTCGGAAACTCGGATCCAGGATCCTACTAATTTAAGTCACTTGAGAGCGCCAGATTTGTCGACGAGATACGTTCTTCGCACATCAGGTGACGATGAATCCCGTTCAGTAGGGCAGCGCGGGGTAGGTATTGTACTCAGTAATAGGGCGGAGTCCTCTCTTATCGATTGGATCCCCGTCAACAGTCGTTTATGTGCAGTGCGTCTCCAGGGTTCAGTCAGCGTCCGGAAAGGAAGCAACACCAAAAGGTGGTTGTTTATCGTATCAATATATACACCGACCAATTGCAGTTCTGATACCCAAAAGGACGCTTTCTACGATGAACTCACCAATCTCATTCGGATGAGTCGAAGCTCCGACATAGTTGTACTTGCAGGTGACTTCAACGCGCAAGTTGGAAAACTGAGCGCATCCGAAGCTTGCCTAGGCGGTAGTTGTGCTCTGTCCTGCCATCGAACAGATAACGGCGATCGACTTCTTCAGTTCTGCGCAGACCATCATCTGTTCGTATCAAGCATCAACTTCCGACACAGCTCTCG